GAAATTTCTACGGAGATGGTTACTGTTTCTTAAATATCGTCCCTGAACAATTTCCAAACAGTATAGTAGATGCGACAGCTTGTACCGCATTGCCAATCAAAAATAGCGGACATGAGCAAGAAGGAGTAGCTTTAAACGTTCAATACAATAATTATTTCAATTCAGGAACGCAACAACAGCTGAGAGATCATGTGTATACTCAGGTTACGGATCATCTTTCTCCAAGACCTAGTTTTCTTCATTTACCATCGGTATTGCCAGGAATTCCCTGTGTGCAACCTAATTGCTCTCAATGTATCTACAAATTTCCTTGAATTGTTAGAGAATATTTATTCCTTATAGTAATATTTATTAAACGTTCTTATGGAAGAATACATGTATTTCAAAACATTATTAATGTATCGTGTCTGAATTTCTACCTAACGAGTATTTGTATGGTACGGTATCAGTGCAGAAGAATTTCTGTGATTGACAGTCCTTGATCTTCAAAGTTTAGTGCGATCAGTTGGGTCAAGCGTACCGTGTTCTTGACACGCATCGCTTGTCTCAATGCCATCCTTTATGAATTGAACTTTGATCGTGAAGCGTGAAAAACTTGTTAGAGTTTGTATACGTATTTTTTAAAGTTGCGAAAGATTTTTGTATGTATCGCGATTTGTTTTGATTTAGATACTAATAGTCTTTAATTAAACCGTTTTCTTCATAAAATAATTATAAATAATCATGTTATTTAATGTTATTTAACGTAAGAAATCATAAGAAGCATTTTTTAAAGTTATCATTTTGTATATCAAAAAAAAATTGTTTTTAACACAAAATCATGATAATATAACAATTTAATTTATTACCGATATCTTGTTTACTATTTTTTAATTGTTTTATATTTTATAAATAATTTTATTTTATAAAGTTATTTATTGGTAAACGAGGGTTTAAAATGCTCTTAAACTTGGCCTGTAATGACGTAAATAGGTTATTTATATGTTATTTACAATACAGTAAAAAAGAGAAGAGTTTATAAAAGAATTATTTTGTTAGTATTTCTTAGTTTTTCTCAAAAATTGATAGAAAGTTTCTCACTGCAGCTATCGTGTAACTGCTAATCTAATAAGATGACAGTAATGGAGTTAAGAAGATTCAATTGGCTGTTCAAACAGTACCAATATCGTAGATCAATTGTCGATGCCCGGAAGCGATTTACTTTGGCTCTGGTTTTTAGGGAGGTAAAACATCGAGGTTAACCCCGTAGGGAACTCCCCAATCCATCGTGCAACGAATTATAACAAACTTGACGCCATGTAGAGAATAATACGTTTCGATTTTTCTTTCATTTACTCTGAAATAGATAGAAGGAAAAGACAAACATTGAAATTCAATGTATAGGATCACACATAAGGATTGCCACATAAGAATCATTTTTTTTATTTGATTCTTTAATAAACATATTACGGTATATACCGTGAATATAACATTTTCTTTTCTTTTTTTTTCTTATGTTGTTTCATTTTTGGTACATATATACATTTGATTTTCTCACTAATAGATTCTAAAGACAATGCTGTCGCCTAATATTACAACAATAACTTCATTTTTGTATATAATGATATATCAATGAAGATGTTCTATTATCATCATGACAATGATTATTACAATAGAGATAATTATATTTATAATAATCATTAATATTATATAACTACTTTTGAATCTATTGGCGAGAGAATCATCCTGTACGTTATGAATAGATCAAATATGTTTTTTTATGTTCTATGTTTAAGAATAATACTTGTTTGCTTAATAATAGGCACATCAGTTTATGCTAGATCAATATCATATTAAAGTTCCTCTATGTGAATGTTATATAAGAATATTAATCTTACAATCCAGAATATTTTGTAAAAACGAATCGAAAGATTAATAATATTACATATGTGAACTATTTTTGTTATATGTTTCAGTTTCTTGAATACATCTTGTTCATTTTAGGAGAACAAGAATTAATCATAATTGTTGCCAAATTCTCATAAGATTCTCATTAGATTCTTCGAATGAGGATACATACTAATTTTCGTATTTTTTTGAATTACATGTTAATTTGCTCGGTAATATATACAATATTTTATTCTATAATCTTTCAACGAAAATCGTGCACCCAAATTAATTATAACTTGCATTCTTCTTAATCAAGTTTAAAATCGAAGATGTGGTTTGTTTTTAATCATGTGTCTGTAATAATTAAGATAAAGTAATTGAATTATTATGCAATTATATATTTTTATATATATATATATATATATATATATATATATATAATATNT